CCCTCCCAGCTCTGACATTCCCTGTTCTAATGTCCTCCCAGCTCTGACATTCCCTGTTCTAATGTCCTCCCAGCTCTGACATTCCCTGTTCTAAGACTCCTCCCAGCTCTGACATTCCCTGTTCTAAGCCCCTCGCAGCTCTGATATTGCATGTTCTAAGCTTTCTTTCCACCTCCAGCGTTTTCTGTTCTAAGATCTCATCCACTTTTGATATCCTTTGTGCTAAGGGCTCTCGCAGCTGACACTCCCTGTTCCGGACCACCCCTTCCCTCCTCCAGCTCTCACATTCTAGGATTCTATGAACAACTGAATAAATCCAAGCTAAACAACTCCCACTTTTATGCTCACGCTACCAAGACAACTCACTTCTAATGAATGAGGGCATCACCAGAGTAAGTGTGCAGAACCCCTCCACCCACAAGGAACCCAAGCCTAATTGTTTCCTGGGAGGCTTCCTGGGAGGCATCCCCACCGACGCCCCTGACAGATGCTGCTGCTGGTCAATGTCTACATGAGCATCACAAACGGCGCTGAGGCCCGTGCCTGGCCTGCCACGTGCCTAACTTCAGGCTTCACTGATCACTTGCCTCCTGGCCCGAGCCCACATTGCTGATGGAAGCCTTGGCTTTTGTAAAATGGTAACCAAACATTCCTGTTTCGACCCCTTTTGGTCGTTAGCACAGGAAACAAGAATGAATGGTTAATGCCGAGCAGCTGGCCTCAGTAACTCTTCGTAACACTCATAACTAGTAACTATTTATAACATGAATAACTTAGTTACACTAGCAGTGGCTCACATTCCTCAAGTGTTCCAGTTTAAGTCCCTCCCCCTGTCAACAGCCATTTGAGGGAATGTTGTAGGAGTATTATTCTCTTCATTTCTCAGATGAAGAGACAGAGGGTCGTAGAGGTGATATGACTTGACTACTGTTATGGACAGTCAGCCTAAGGTATTCTGCATCTTTTGGGTCTGCTGGTTTCTCCCTGCCTACCTTCATTTCCTGCAGAGACCACGAGGGCTCAGAAATGTTGACTTAGATTCCTGCTATGAGATCAAGTCTGACTGAGGACCACTCAGCAAAGCTCACTTGGTGGCCGAAGGACTCCAGGCTCCTTGTCTTCTGACTTTGCCCCAGCGAGGGGCACTGGCCTACCGAGCAGCTCCTCCCCTGATTTTCATTTCCACATCACCAGTTGCTTATTGGACATTTCAAATTGGATGATATAGACATCTTCACTCAATATAGCTGCAATTGAACTCATTCTCCTCCCCCCAAATCCCCCCCTCTTCCAAATTTCCTTCTTCCTAGAGAAGACACCGCCATCCCTCTAATCTCCCAGGGTCACAGCGCTGGCGTTATCCTCAGCACCTTCCTCGTTGCCGCCCCATGTGTTTAATCTGTTGCCAGATCTTTAAACCATCCCTCCAGCTGATCCTTCTCTCCACTCCCCTAGCTCTCACTGAGTTCAGGCTCTTATCTCACACAGACAGCCTCCTAATGAGTTCCGCTGCCTCAAGTCTGTGTCCATCCCATTCCATCCCTCACACGGTTGCCCAAGTCATTTTCCTTCTGCGTCGATCTGAACACGTGAATCGGTGAACTCTAGTGGCTTCCTATTTCCTCTGGGATAAAGTAGAGATTTCTGTTTAGCTTTGAAAGCCCTTCAGAAGCTGGTCCCAGCCTGTCTTTCCATCCCCACTGGACATCTCTCCCCCTGCTGCACTCCACAATCCCGTCAAACTGGCCTTCTGTCTCTTCTTCCCTCAGGACACGCCATCTCCAGGTCCCGAGCTTTTGCCCTGGCTGTTCCCCACATCTGGAATGCACTCCCCCGTCACCTTTGCCTCAAAGTGTCCCTTTCCTCGGGATAAGCTCAGGCATCATCTTTTGATAGAGGCAGCTGGGCGGGATAGTGGACAGAGTGTTGGACTTGGAGTCGGGAAGACCCAAGTTCAAATATAGACACTGACTAGTTGTGTAGCCCTGGGAAAGCCACTTGACCTCTGTCTGCCTCAGTTTCCTCATCTATAAAATGGGGCTAATAACAGCACCTGCCTTACGAGGCTGTTGTAAGGATCAAATGAGATGATACTTGTAAAGTACTAACATACAAAGTGCTATATAAATTCTAGCTCATTATTATTCTACATGAAGCCTTTGCCACTCTCTCCACCTGCCTCAACTGCCTTGTATTTAGCGACTTTCTATACATTTTTATTCACTTTACATCTATGCTGTATCGATTTAGATATGTATTTGTTATATCTCCAGAGTAGGGATTGTCTCAGTCTTTGGACCTGTTGGCTCTTAAGGAGTATTAGTTGGATTGGTGGACTGATGGTCAAAGAAGGTGACTGAATTTATTGTCACCCCCAGGTCCATCCATTTGGTCAGCGTTGAGGCCAGAGTCCCCCTGATTAGGTGGGGAGAGCAGCTTTCCTTGATCATGGCAGGTGCCTAGTGAGGGGATGAAGAAGTTAATGAAGGAGCCATGAACCTGCAGCCAAAGGACCTGGGTTCAATTCCTGCCGCCCTGCCTACTTACTACCTGTATCGTCATCAACAAGTCACCTTCCCTTTTTGGGCCTCATTTTCCTCATCTGGTGAATGAGGGAATTGAGCCTCAGTACCCTCAGCTGTAAAAGAAGAGAGCTGGCCTCTAAAGTCCCTTCCACTTTTAGATTTGTGATTCTTTGTTACATCATCTCTCTGGGCCTCAGTTTCCTCAGCTGTAAGAGAAGGGAGGTCGCCTAGGTGGCCTCTACAGGCCCTCTCAGCACTAAATCCTCCGGCCCTCCAATCCTGTAACCACAAGCTCAATGCCTTTGCCACCACCCCAGATGCCCACTCTGTTGGAACACAGCATTCTTTGGAGAGCTGTAGCAAAGCCAGTCTGTTTCTTGCACAGTTGACTTTGGATTGGAGAGGAGAAGGAGTTTTAATTGACCTGCCTTCCCCAGGGCTTCCAGCAAGGGGGACTGAATGAATCCAAGTGAATGGTTATGAAGCGAAGGACCCTCATTTTTGGGGCCATTTTTCTTGGCAGCCTCTAACCCAACCGAGGCTTGGATTCAAACTCCTGTTCAGCCCGGGCCCCAGGTACCAACTCAACTGGGCTTCCTGTGCCCCCTTTCCCCCCACTTCACATGGTACTAAAACATCCTGGGGACAAAAAGCACACTTTCATTTACTAAAATTCTCCCATCGGTGTGGAAGTGAAATAAATAGGACACCTGGGACCCTCCTCCAGGGCTGGTTTCAGCTCCACTCAGGCTATTTCCAGCCACAAATCACAGATCACTCTTTTTATGGGGGGGAGGGTGGGTCAGGAAAATCCCCAGGGCCCACTAACTCATCCTTTCCCTTTATAACTTCAGGCTAATGTGGCAGGGAACCCTAGGCCCAGTCGAAAGCCATTATACTCCCAGTAAGTAATCTGGGCCAACTCTTCCAAAACTTGTGACAGTGAAGTTCCCAATTAGCGCCATGCTCAACGGTGTAGGTGAAGGCATTCACAGGCACTTGGAGAGTTTCAGGGTTATTGGGTATGTGTGTGTGTGTGTGTGTGTGTGTGTGTGTGTGTGTGTGTGTGTGTATGTCTGTGTGTGTGTGTGTGTCTGTGGTGTGTGTCTGTGTCTGTATGTGTCTGTGTCTGTGTGTGTATGTCTGTGTATGTCTGTGTATGTCTCTGTGTATCTGTGCGTGTCTGTGTGTGTGTGTGTGTGTGTGTGTGTGTGTGTGTAGGAGGGATGCAAAGGTGTCCAGTTCTAACTCACAAGGGCTTCTGGGACTTCGGCTGGGCAAGAAGACTCTTTGCTTTGGGCCGTATGGCTTTTAGAGGAGAGGAATTTGAGTGAACATAATAATAACAACAGCAAACAGCATTTCAAGAGCCCAAGGTCTTCAGAGCATTTAACATATGTTATTTCACTTGATCTTTACAATAATCTCTCCTCCTCTTCATCTCTGCCTCCTGGCTTCCCTGGCTTCCTTCAAGACTTAGTTCAAACTCGACCTTTGGCTGGAGGTCTCTGGGGCCCCCCACCCCCACCCAGTGCCCTCCCTCTGAATTCCCTCCCCTTTGCACTATATATATCTTTTATGCACATAGCTCTTCACATGTTGTCTCCTGAGTAAGAAAATGAACTCTGTGAGGATAGGCTCCATGGTTTTGTTTTTGTTTTTTACTTTCTTTGTGCGGTGTGTCCCTAAAGCTTAGCACATGTGCCTGACAGTAGTAAGAGTTTAACAAATGCTTATTGACTGAATGACTGTCTGGAGAATCATTTTTCTCATCTGTAATAATATCAGGAAGATAACATCTATAGTACTGTCAATGAAACGTGAGCTACTTGAGGGCAGGAATAGTGTTTTTGCCCTTTCTTTGAATCCCCAGCACTTAGTATAGTGCCTGGAACTTAGTAGGTACTTAATATGAAAATTGACTGTCAACAACTCAATGAAGTAGGTGCCATTATGATCCCCATTTTACAAATGAGGAAACTGAGGCAGACAGAGGTTAAATGACTTACCCAGGGTCATCCAGCTAGTAAGTATATGAGCTTACAGATAGAGTGCTAGACCTGAAGCCAGGAAGACCTCATTTTAAGTCCTTCATCTGACATTTAAATGGCTCTGTGTCAATGGGCAAATCATTCAACCTCTCCCAGATGCCTTAGTTTCTTTATTTGTAAAATAGGAGGTGGTAAAATATGTCAAGAAATTGTGTACTAGGAAGAGAAGACGGGCTGCTCATGTGGTGAAGGATGGTAACTGGACAGATTAGTATTCAAAGTCCTTCATAACCTAGCCATCTGCCTCCCCACCCCCGACCCTTCCCAGTCTTCTCTCACCTTCCTCACTGACATATACTAGCTATTCCATGAACAACACACCATCTCCCAATTGCAGACATTCTCTAGGGCTGTCCCCTCTGCCTAGAATGCCCTTCCTTCTCATTTCTACTTTCTTCATGTTCTGATACCAAAGCCCACATTCTCTCCATTGCACCACGCTGTTTCACTGAATGAATGGATTCTTTTGTTGTTCTATCATTTCTGTTACGTCCAATTCTTCCTGACCCCATTTGGGGTTTTCTTGCCAGAGATACTAGATTTATTTGCCATTTCCTTCTCCAGCTCATTTTACAGACGAGGAAACTGAGGCAAACAGGGTGAAGTGACTTGCTCAGGGTCACACAGCTAGAAAATGTCTGAGGTCAGATTTAAACTCAGGAAGAATGGAGTTTACTTTGTTAGAAAGCAGACTTACTTTCCTTCATTGCATTTTGCTTGGTTAATGTTAAAACCAACATGCATTTCCTAGGCTTCTACCAATGGAAGTCTAAGGAAGGTCCACAGCTGGTAGAACCCTCAGTCCCAAGATGGATAACTGGGAGGCAACTGCATTTGTACTGTGCATGCTGGGAAGTGCCTGGTGCCAGGCACGGTGAGGTTACCTGGAAGATTGGATATTTCACATAATTGATCTCAATGCATGTGCTGTCGTTCGTCGGCTTGGTGGACAGGAGTGCCTTGAACCTAGACAAGAAAGAAAACAGAGCGAAAAAAAATGAATGAAAAGCATGACCAATCAGAAACCTGGCCTCTTCTGATCACTGAGCAAATGGAACAGTGCTGGTTCTTTTTCGTGCTAATATCTGGAAAGACAAGAGGTAATACACCAGAATGGATAGAGGACATGGTTTGTTATTAGGAAGACCTGGGTTCAGATCTCACTTTGGATCCCCACTCTCTGCATGAGCCTGACTGAGAAGTCAAAGACCTCTTTGGGCCTCTAGGATTCATCGACGAAGTCATAGATTGGTGGTGATTGGTGGAAAGGGGATTGTTCTCACACCAGGAATTCCTGCCCTGATGAGATCATTGATCCATTATATATATATATATATGCACGAGTCATTCTCTTCCTATTATGTCTCATTTATGCCCCTAACATGGGGTGTCCCCAAAAGTCTTAGGGCAGCTTTAAGCTTAAATAGACTTTTTGGAACGTCCTGCATTTGACAATGCACACTGATGGCATGAAAGGTGGACTGGTCTTGAGCCAGTCAATTTAGCTTCTCCAGCTCAGACTTGGGAAAGAATCCACTTCATTGAGGACTAGAGAACTTGCCATATGAGAATAAGTTGGAGGAAAAGAAGTCTTAAGGAAGGGTGTCATGCTTGTCTTCAAATGTGAAATGAAGGGGACGGACAAGATGGCCTCTGCCTCTCTAGGCATCCCTTGCTCCCATTTTCACCTGCTCTTTCAGAACTTGGCTTAATATGGGAAAACCAATTTAAAGAATCTCTCAGTTGGAGGGGACCTTGGAGGCCATTAGTCCAATCCTTAACTAAATAAAATTCTGTTTTATAATGTCCATGAATGTCCAGCCTTTGCTTGAAGACTTTCAATGAACTATTTTCAATACTATTCCAAGTTTGAAATACATGACCTCTGTGATATTAGATATATCAGGGGCAGCTGCGTGGTGCAATGGATAGAGTGCTGGGCCTGGAGTCAGGAAGACTCATCTTCCTCATCATGAATCTGGCTTCACACACTTACTAGCTGTGTGACCCTGGGAAAGTCACTTCCCTTCGTTTGCCTCAGTTTCCTCATCTGTAAAATGAGCTGGAGAAGGAAATGGCAAACCACTTCAGTATTTCTGCCAAGAAAAGCCCAAATGGGAGCATGAAGAGTCAGACATAACTGAAAAATGACTGAAAATTAGATGAATCATTTAATCTACCTGTCCCTCAGCTCCCTCATCTGTAAAATAATGACATTGGCTAGATGGCCTCTAAGGACTCTTCTGGCTCTGAATCTATAATAAATAACTTCACGTCCTTGTGCCTCAGTTTCTTCATATGTAAAATGAAGGGAGTGGACAAGATGGCCCCTTCCCCTCTAGGCATCCCTTGCTCCTGTTTTCACCAGTTCTTTCAGAACTTGACTTAAAATCTACCTTCCCTGGTTCCCAAGATCCAATGTGGATCATGGGATTTGGGGCCAGAGAAGACCTCCCTCATTTTACAGATAAGGAAACTGAGGATTAGAGGGGTCATGTAACTTGCCTAATGTCACAACGCACATTCCTTTGGCTTTAAATCCAGCATTCTTGTCTCTACAGCTTGCTTCTTCTATGACTCTTCTTGTCCCAGACGTCAGAGCCGGGAGTAGTATGGGGAAGTTGCTTATGGGCAGATTTTAACTTAATGTAAGGAAAGACTTTCTAATGAATAATGTTTTCCCAAAATGGAATGAACTGCTTCAGGTGGTGATGGCTTCCACCATCTTTGGAGGTCTACAAGCAAAGGCTAAATGATCATCTGTCAAGGATTAAATATTCCAAAAGAATACTGACTCTCACCTAAGAAGACCTGCCTTCAATTCCCATCTCTGACACTTACTACCTGTGTAGTAAGTAGAGTAAGTCACTTAGATCCTCTGTGCCTCAGTTTCCTCAATTGTAAAAGGCGGAGGGTTGGCCTCAATGGCCTCTGAGAACCTTTCCTATTCTGACATTCTGTGGCATCCTAGTGTTCTATCTGGTTCTCTCCATGGCGCCAAAAGGTTGTCACATCCTCTCTCTTCTCCCACTATGCTTTAGTCTGTTCAGGACCTATTCAGGTTCTGAATTTTCAAATACATCTCCTGTTGAGTCTGCAGAAGGATCAAGAAGAAGAGAAGGGACCAAACTCTCAGACAGAGATTCTATCCATCAGACTTCTGCTCTGATTTATGGAGAACAAATGAAAATTGGATTTAGAAAAGTCAGACCCAAGTCTTGGACGTTCAGAATGGGTAAGGCCCATCTGGCACCAGAAATGTAGAGCTAGAAGGGGCCTTGGAGGTTCAATCTCAATTCTTATATCTAACACCCATGTTACTTGAAACAAGTCATTTGAACTCTATGGGCTTTATCTGTAAACCACTGGAAAGAACAGATGAGTAAACTGAGATCCAGATAGACTTTGTTTCACAGATATCACACAGTAGGAGAAAAGGTAGGATTTGAACCCAGATCCTCTGACTACAAATCAATTCCCTTCTCTGTCTCTACCTATCTCCCTTTCTCCCTTCCCCTACAGTCCTCTGGTTTCTATTCCAGGAACCATGTGAAAATTTTAATGTCCAGTAAAATTTCCCTAACATTTGGACTAGTTCCATGATGTGTGAGTTGAATTAGTGAGAAATCTATCTGTCTGTCTATCTATCAATCAACCAATCAATCTATCTATCTATCTATCTACCTAATCTTTCTCCTTCCCTCCCTTCCTTCCATTTCTTTCGCCTTCATTTCCTGTTCTGACTTTCCTTCTCTGAAGTTTTTTTTTTTAATGTTTTGTTTCCCCCTGTATTGCTGACACTTCCTAATGACTGGGAGTGAATCCCTATGATGACACTCCCCCCCCCCCCCCCCCCCCATAAAGCCTTTTTTTTTTTTTAAGTAAGGCTGTACAGTTAAGCAAAATCAATCCGTTCACTGACCATATCCAGCAATGCATGCCTCATTCCACTCCCATAGTCCACCACTTCGTGCTCAGAATGGGAGGCATGTCAGCTGTTTCCACTGGCATTGAGGAGGCTGATCCCTTGAGCGTGGGTCCTCAATTCTCTCACTTGCTAAGTGATCCACGAAACTCCTTCCACCCCCTTTTGCTTTCTGCAAATGGTGAATAGTTGCAGTCCCAGTCTCTGCAGTGACCATGACTGACTTCCAAGATGAGACCAAGCACTTACCTGGGAGATGCAGTAAACAACAGTACTTTGTGTGCATAAAATGGCCTTCCCTCCACCAGGAAGGTAACATCAGACATCTCTTTATTGTTGAGAAAGTGAGGATCTAGAAAGAAGGAAAAGGAACAGAGAAGAGGCTTTAGTCCAGAGCAGAGGGAAGATTTACTTCCTGAACTACATATCATTGCTGATGGGGAAAACGGGACTTATGGGATTGGTCTCTGAAGTCACAGATTGCTATCTGGGTTGGGAAATAGAGCTCAGTCAAAGGTAAACCCAAGCCACTGACATGGATTCTTTTTATATGAAGGCTTGAACGATTTTTCTCTGCCAGAGGGCAGACATGCCCTATCTCCTTTGAATCCTCACCTAGAGTCAGGATCAGTTGGTTTTGAGTTTTGAAAGGTAAACATCTCTCCCATCACCCTCTTCTGTAAGAATGTCACTCAGTCTCCTGTTCATTTCTCATAGGATCATAGCTCTAACAGAGCTAGCTAATAGCTAGAATTTATATAGCATTTTCAGGTGTGCAAAGCATTTTACAACTATTATCTTATTTGATCCTCACAAACCACCAAGGTAGGAGCTATTATTATCCTCATTACACACATGAGGAAACTGAGGCAGACAGAATAAGCACCTTGCCTAGGATCACACAGCTAATAGGTGTTTAAGGCTGGATCTGAACTCAGGTCTTCCTGACTCCAGGCCCGGCACTCTTAACTAGATGAGAGCTAGAAGGGGGCACCAGACACCATGATGTCCAAGCCCTGCTTTTCTAGATGAGAAAATTAAGGTGGATTAGATCACCATAAAGTATCTTTCATTTTCAAATCAATGAGTCTTAGGTTACATCTTCCTTGTAGACATGAAAATGACCATACGGGATAGGCCAAGTTAGCCAAGACATTCCGTAGATATTCTTTCCAGGAGACAAACTTCCTAAGGATGTGCTTAAAGAAGTAGGTGGGCATATTTTCTTCCCTTCCCCTCCCCTCCATCTGATTTCCCTCCTCTCTATTTTCAAGTTGCAAGGCAGCTTCTGGCAACTTACCTAGACGAGACGTCTGCTTACGCTTTATCTCCACCAGTTTGGGGATGGGATAAGGTCCGTAACAGTGAGTGAAGATGACACATAGCTGTTGACTGATCACTTCATTCTGAAGAAGAGAAACAAGAACTCTTGAGAGCTGGAGGATTCCAAGGGCCTCTCCTAAGCTGTCTATCACAATTTCGGTGTTTCCACACTCAGTGTTAAGGAAAGTGAAGTCCTGAGTGAGGGCTGGGGGAAACCTCTTTTCCCTCAGAAATGTTACCAAGTCTTCTGTAGGAAACTGAACTTGGCATTAAAACTTCTTTTTCATTCCAGTGAGACATAGACTGACTTTTCTGAGCTGTCCATGTTCTATTTTAGTAAACTTCATTGCCAAGAGGTTTCTGGGAAAAGAGGTATGATTACTGGGAACCTGATACCCTAGTAAGTGACACTCTCTTGTTCTGTTTACTTAATGTCCATTAGAAAGTAGGTTTTTGTGGGTCACAGTGGAGAAAATCAAGTTTAGTTTTTAAATGCAACTACCTTTATTGCTTTAACTCATGGGTTTCAGCAAACAGGGCTTCCCCATTCAATAACAGCAGATGATTGCTCCTGGCACATTGACAAGGCTCTCTTTGAATAAGACATAAATAACCACAAGTTCAGGGCCCTTAATAACTAAAATATGGGAATGAGGTACTTGCAGCTGGCAGTGATCTTTGGGGAGCTCAGTCGTTTCACAACACGGTGGTGATAGAAACAGCATTGTCAGAGGCCCTGGGTTTAAATCCCAGCTCTGTCACCCATCACCTGTGTGACCTGGGGTCCCTTAACCTCTTGGACCTAAGAATAAAATCTATAAAGTGAGAGGACTGGGGCAGATGGCTCCTGAGGTCTCTTCTGTCTCTAAGTCTACGGTCCTTTATATCCTATGATCCTCATAAAGGGGACAAGTTATGGAAATTGATATCCTAAAGTAGAGGCATCTCAAAAATTCAGGGGCTGGTTAGCCATTGTCTGGATTATTCAGACCCTTCCCTTCTGTCTCCTACTTCTGTTCCTTCTCTCTGTTTTTTTTCCTTCATTGCCTCTCTCTCTCTCTCCCCACTATTCTACTGACCACTTTTTGGACATATCTGAACATATTCGCTGACAGAATGTAAGCCTCTTAAAGGCTGGGATTGTTGCATTTCTGTCCTTGAATCCCCAGCACCTTGGACAGCGCTTGGCATTTACTACATGCTTGGTGAGCTGATTGTCATTCCTGTTCATTGATCTTCCCAAAGAGTAGATAGAGAAAGCCTCCTATGTAAGGCGCTTGCTAATCACCTCTTCCCCCTCCCAGGTTCTAGTATCTTCCCTATCGAATTACCATGTATATTTTTGGGACCAGGTCTGTCATTTCTTAGGTGTAGTGAACTCTTTGTGGGTAAACTCCATCTTGGTACCTGCTTCATGGTTTATGGTCTTAAAGAATTGCCCTGGGCACTGAAAGGTTGAGTGACTTTCCTAGGGTCAAAGAGCCAGTATATGACTTGAACCCAGATTTTCCTGATGTGGAGGCCAGCTCTCTACCACACTGCCTCTCACCTGGTATTTATTATGCATATATTTGGGCACATGTTATTTCTTTTTTTTTTTCTTTCTTTTTTTTCTTTCTTTTTGGTGAGGCAATTGGGGTTAAGTGACTTGCCCAGGGTCACACAGCTAGTAAGTGTCAAGTGTCTGAGGCTGGATTTGAAGCACATGTTATTTATATAGATAGAATGTAAGCTCCTTGAAGGGCCTGTTTAATTTTTACCTTTGTGTCCCTGGTGACTGACACATAGTAGGTGCCTTAAGAGATGATTGCTGACTGACTGATAGAATGCTGGGAGCTGGAAGAGATTGCAGTAACCATGTGACACCAACCCCTCATTCTTTTTTTTTTTTTTTTGGCGAGGCAATTGGAGTTAAGTGACACGCCCAGGGTCACACAGCTAGTAAGTGTCAAGTGTCTAAGGCCAGATTTGAACTCAGGTCTTTCTGACTCCAAAGTTGGAGCTTTATCCTCTGCGTCACCTAGCTGCCCTCCAACCGCTCATTCTAAAGATGACCAAACTAAGGCTCAGGGAGGATGGAATGACTTGTTGAGAGTAGTGGTGGAACCAGAACTAGAGCCCAGGCTTCCTGGTTCCCAGCCTGGGTTCTCTCCCCTTTACTACTTCAGTCTCCCATTAATCTTGCTTGAATTTCTTCCAGTCTCCCTTCTCAGGGTTCCTGTTTTTGTAAGTATGCCCATTCAGGTGCTGTCCTTGCTCATTTCAGTGAGTCACTTTCCCCTCAATAAAAGAGAAGCTACTTGAGGACAGGCACAGTTTTGTATTTTTTTCTCCTTTGTTTTCTTAGGCCATAGCATGGAGAGGCAGCTTAATAAATATTTACTGAATGAAAATTAGTGGCCTCCCAAACTAATTCTGTCTAAGCTTAAAGTGAATTGCCTCTGTAGGTAAGAGGCGTGTATGTAATTAGCACTAGTTAACAGTTGTGGGAGGGAGGGAGCGGCTAGAGGGTTTGGACCATGGCGGCCGTAGTTTGTCCTCCCAAATGGATTTTGTCGGCTCTGGACCAAGGCCTTCTTGTAGCCACGTGGAATTCATAAGAAGGGAGTCACAAACTAGGACTTTTGTTTCTGCCTGGGCAAGAAGCCAACAGTGTCCTTAGAGAGGTGGGTTCAGGCACAGATGTTTCAGAGTGACCAAAATGGCAGCTTCAGAAGCCAGGCTCTAGCCCTGGAGAGGAGCTGGGAAAAGGGCAGGACAATGACAGCCATACATCTGCTACCATTAGCTCTACTTGAGTCTCCTGAGGGCTCAGCCAGCTGACTCAACTGGTAGGGCCAAAGAGCTGTGGGATCATGTTCTAACAAGCCCAGCTGTGGGGACAGAGCACTCTGTTAGTAATGGTTAGTGGCACGTGGCCATGCTGTACCTGGCGATCCACCTGCACATGGAGAATGCAGGATGTGCATGTATAGAGAAGGGCTCTGGTCCATGGGCCTCTTAACTGTACAGATATAGAGAAGGACTTGAGAGGAAGAAAGGCTCATCCGGCATTATCAGAATACTGTTCTCCAGGTGGGACAGTGTGCTACTATTCCTGTCCTTTAATTTAATTTAATTCAATTTGATTCAATATTTATTAAGGTATAGTGGAAAGAGAGCTGGCCTTGGAGTCAGGGAGACCTGGGTTCAAGTCTTGCTTCATATACACAGTTGGGATATGATTATGGGCAAACCATTCTACTACTCTTTGTTACAGGCAACTTTCTAGGCCTAGATGTTAGCGCTAATTCCACAGAGGGAGATTCCACATCAGTAGTGTTCAATGCTGATGAAATCCCAGGAACAGAGAGAGAGTGAAAGATGATAGTGAAGAAGATGGTGGAGATAATGAAGATGATGGAGATGAGAACAGAGAGGAAGGAAGAAGAAGAAGGATGAAGGGAGGAAAAGGATCAGGAGGAGAATGAGAAGAATAAAGGAGGAGGTAGATGGAGAATGAAAATAAAGAGAAAAAAATAAGAATGGAGGAGAAAGGAAGAGGAGGAGGAAGGAGAAAAAGAGGAGGAAGAAAAAGCAAGATAAGAAGACATACACAAGGCCCACTGTCTTAAGTGCTGGACATATAAAGATAGAAATAAAACAGAACTGCCCACAAATAGCTTACATTGTATTATACGGATACAACATGTATATAGATAAGGAAGAAAGTGGTGACTAAGCTGGGCTTTGAAGGAATCCAGGGATCCTAAGACACGGGTATCAGGAGGGAATGCATTCTAGACACAAGGCTCCATCTGTGTAAAAGAATGAAGGCAAAAGCCAGCATGTCACATAGAGGGAACGGTGAGCTGGCCAATCTGACTGCATCCACAGGAATTACATGAAATAAGACTGGAAAGGCAGGTGGGAGCCAGGTTCTGGAGGGCTTTAAATGCCCGGCTGTTGATTTTGTTTGTTATCCTAGAGGCAACAGGGAGCTGATGGAGATTTTAAATATGGCCAACACATTCTGTGGATTCATATGGGTTACAATTTTCCCAAGATCTGAAAACTCCAGGACAGCTCAGAGGGAAGATTGTCAGAAAGCAGAGATCCATAACAGATATTCTCCTAAAGTTTCTGAGTCCTAGGATTCTATTCTGCATTTATCTGGAAGGGGATGTGCCCCCCCCCCCCCCCCCCCCCCCCGCCCTTCACAGCTGGAAAAGTTGAGGCCTAAAAAAGTTGAAAGAGAGAGAGATTGGATCAGTCCCTGATAAGATCACATTTTTCAGCTGTGAAAACAGAGCCAGGCATCCATGGATATTTGAGTTCATCAGCATGGGTTCTCTCTTTAGTTCATGTTTGTTCCCATCACATGTGATTTTCGTCCTTTTCTTTCCCTACATCTTTCTGATTTAATCCGCCTCTATCAGGGAGACCTTTTTCCTGTCTTTGATTGTTGTTTGGATATCCCCTTGGACCATCCACCTCGTGGCCCTTGCCTCCCTTCCTGGCTTCGTGCATCCTTAATAGCATCTTTTACATCATTTCTAGAACATGAATCATCTTGGTTAATGTGCTCCACCTTACTTATGCCCATGATGTGGTCTTTATATTGTCCACTGGGTTTTTTTTTTGTCATTCTTTTTTGTCAATGTCAGTGAAATTGATAACCTCATTTCCCATGAGCCACTTTGGAATTCCCATTCACTCCTTCCCGATAAGCTCATTGCTAATAGGGATCATTTCATTCTTTGGAATTGTATCCCCCATATCTAGCACAGTAACCGGCACACATCAGGTGTTTAATAAATGCTTGTTGACTGATTGAAATCACAGGATCTCAGAGGTAGAAGGGGCCTCATTGGCCATTGAATCCAACAGGTACCTGAACAGGAATCCCCTTTGTAACAACCCCTGACATATGGCCCCCCAGCCTTGGTATTTGAAGACCTCCACTGCAGGGGAGCCCACTTTCTCCCAAGGCACCTCATTCCATTTGGAGCCATCTTCTCATTGCACACCTAAATTCTTTCCCACATCATAGCCTTTCAAATACTTGAAGATGGCTCTTATATCACTTTTTTTTCTTTTTTTT